TATACCCGAGATATATATTATCTTTGTGCCCGGGTTGGAGGCAGGAGTGAGGGGGAGGAAGAGGGGGGGGGGATAGTGGCAGGGGAAGGAGAGGGGTAGAGAAAGAGAAAGGGGGAGAGACAACGTGTGACAGAGACGAAGAATACGCAGATGGCGCTGCAAAACTTCGTCAAGAAGTTCCAGTGCAGAAGTTCAAGTATTCCGTTTGATATGAGAAAATTATTAGATTATGAAGTACATGGGGGAGCGCTAAATCCATAGGTGAACAGTAGGCAATCATATCCGATCCATCTGATGGGAGTTTAGTTCCGGTTACATGGATTAAGAACCCTTCCCAGGCATCAGGGCAGCTACCCAGAAGGATGAAAACATTACTGAAAGATGGTGTGACAAAATGTGTTCATTTAGTTCAACAATTTTAATGAAAGTTCAACAAAAGTTTACTATGATCTTCCAAAAATTGACTGTTTGACTCCCTCTATTTTGTGACATTCAATATATACCATTTTAACTCGGCTGATGTTTACCTAATTTATTCCTTTAAGACTTGTTAAATATTTCCTGGCTGCATATATTCTTAAAGATGTCCAGCAGATACTTTTCAGTATAGATATACGTACCTGTCTCTACCTGTTCTCCGCCTCTTATACTCTAGTTTTCATTTATGTTTTATCAATTTCACTTAATAATAGTATTATAATAATAATAATAATAATAATAATAATAATAATAATAATAATAATAATAATAATAATAATAATAATAATAATAATAATAATAATAAATAATAATAATAATAATATAATAATAATATATAAAATATAATAATAATAATAATAATAATAATAATAATAATAATAATAATAATAATAATAATATATTTCTACAAGTACATGTACAAGGTATACAGGTCTAGTTGACATCAATGACATACCAATATATAGAAAGCCGCTTGTTATGCTGAGCATTTCCGGCAAATTAGGTCAGTTTTGTCCCAGGATGCAACCCACACCAGTCCACTAACACCCAGGTACCTATTTTACTGATGGGGAACACAGACAACAGGTGGAAAGAAGCACGCCCAATGTTTCTACTCTGGCTGGGAATCGAACCCGGACCCTCGCCGTGTGAAGCGAGAGCTTTACCCACCAGGCCACCAGAGCCAAAAGTCTTGGAATTTAGTAACTAAATAACTTACACCTATAAATCTAATAATTGATATCGTCTTCAGACACAAAAAAAAATAAGAAATTAATATGAAAAACAAATCAAAAGTTACAAGATTTCTACACGCATATATCTTCATTATGAATAAATAAAGTGAAATGAAAACTCAGTAATAATTCACATGGAGACAGAAACTCAGGACATTAATTGATCTGTATATTTGGATTCCCTTCTGGGATCCTCTTCAGCAGAGGATACAAGAAGAGGGTTGAAATATACAGATCAATTAATCTCCTGAATTTCTGTCTCCATGTTCAATATGCTCTTTTTTTATATAATATAAAAGTTATTTGATTATATTTTTGGTGTTACCATCTACATGACCCGTAAGGGTCATAGAGCGCCTGGGGAATGAGAGGTAATCGAGTCTGATCTGTCGACGGGGAGGATAGCTCCAGGTCCTTGGATCGAAAGCCTTTCATTATCAAGGCACTCATCCGTTCTCACATAAATTGTCCTTAGTATAAATTGTATAATTCCCAAATGTCAGGGAAGTAACTGTACACTATTTATTGTCTACTAAGAAGGCGGTGGTTCATTGTTTGCTGCAAGGAAATCTCTGACGGGTTTTTTAAACAATGCAACCAATATTAAGTTATGAGATTTACCACCAGCACTTGGTCTTCAACACACACACACACACACACACACACACACACACACACACACACACACACACACACACACACACACACACACACACACACACACACATACACAGTGTTGGTGGATGTTACGCAGCTACTTACCACTTGACAGGAATCCACACATAGCCACACAAACCCTGAAGGTGGGGAAGGTTCTGAGGTGTGCCTCCAGAGTGGTGCTAGAACTGCCAGACAGGAGCTATAAGAGACCGTACATCGCTGTACGAGTGTAACTCAAGAGAAGTCATGATTATAATTTACAATATACTCTGCAGCATAAATCATGTGATCAAAGCAACGAGCTTTACTTTGTAAAGCGTAGTAATGAGGGTAAAAGATAAAAGTTGAGCACACGAGCAAAAGACGTTACAGAGAATGAAAACAACTAAGAGTTTTTAAGACGTGGGAAGAGCTCAGTCATGAGTTGGTGTCGAGTAGATTGGTAGAGTAGGATAGTAGAATAGGCTGGTAAACAACAACCATCCAGAGAGGTACTACCATTTACCAATATAAGGGTGCAAAATAAAGTCTTTTTTTTTCTATAAGTGTTGCGCTCAGGTAGGACTGATTTTTTTTCTGTAACATTTACAACCCTCCGCTTACTTCAGAATACGTTTATCGTTGTTTTCCTATTTATTAATTAACAGTGTTAGGTCCTGTAATGTTTCCTTTCATTTCAAGAGAATCTGGTCTGTAACTGGGCTTAGGGGCCTTTGATCCCCTAGGCCTGGTTAAGGAATGTAACAAATATGAAGACAAGGCACAAGCTGACTCCTTACACAAAACCAAACATAAGGAAAACAGAACCAAATTATGTCAGTCTGTTAAAACAGGAAGACCCAGAAGCTGGGGCTACAACCCCGGAAACACAATTACAGATCCTCCCCGACTTACGTCAGAGTTCCCTTCCGACCGACCGGTCGGATTTCGAAATTGACGGATTTGGGAATTATATTAGCATGGCGTGTAGTGATTGTATACCTGTACAACATTCTTTTAACCTAATAAATTTCTGTCATGATTATCCCATATTTTTTATCAACCAGCTTTATTACCTTGAGTTTCATTACTCACAAACTGATGTTCATTTCTTGTAGGTATCATTCATAGACTTCACAAATAAAAATGTTGTGTGGAATGTAGTAGCCTAGTCTAGGTGTATCAATGTTCTTGTTACTCATTATTTTCCCCTCAAGGAAGGTTCCTTGATGTTGGTGAGGGGCTCTTGATTTAGGGAATTGGATCTGTGCTCCAGTTCCCCGAATTAAGCCTGAATGCCTTCCACATCCCCCCCCAGGCGCTGTATAATCCTCAGGGTTTAGCGCTTCCCCCTTGATTATAATAATAATAATACTCATTATTTCAACATTGTCCATTACCTTCTTCTTTTCATGGTTTTAACAAACACAATTCAGTAAATATATTTATTATTCTAGCGGTGGTGGACGTATGGCCAAGGGTAATTTCTATATTTAGTTACATGTAATTTTGATTTCCTAATTTACAGTATTTTTTTTCGGTCGTATGTGCGGATGGACGTAAGTCGCATAGAAGTAACTAAATGGTTATAACTAACCATAATTTTTTAAAAGGGTGGACTGGTAAGCCATCGGAAGGCCTCGGTCAGATGACCAAAAGCTCCAACGGCTGGTCATCATTTGACTAAGACCCGCGTCAGGAAACACTTGTCCTGTTTCCTGACAAACCTCACGTAACCTAACCTCTCATGGGTCGCAAGTCAGGGAGGCTCTGTATACGAGTATATAATGTGAGCACATCTTTATTTCTCCCATTCACACGAGTGTGTACTTAACACCTGTGGTTCTCCGGCGTCGACATCAGAAAATGAGGTTCCCAACCTGGGAACCCTACCTGCTGCTCACCATAGCTACGATTACTGGAAACATTGTCGATAAGATACCAGTAAGGGTGTCACCATCGTATCTCATGATAAAATACGTAGAAATCCGATCATATTTGCATGGGTGTGTTACAGCCAGCTGGGGCCAGCCAGCAGAGGCTCAACAACTGACTAATTATATGAAGACCCTTGTCATGAGACAATGTTCGTCCTCAATAATAAACCACCACCACCATTTAAACCCCTCCATTTAACCCACTACCTCTCTTTAAACCCCTCCAGTGACCTCATGCCTTCCCCGCGGAGTTAACAGGTAAAAAGTGTATAACAAACCTAAGAAGCATATGTTTTATACACAATTATAATAACAACGATAATTTTGATAATAACACGAGTAATAATAATTAAATTGCAGCTATTAATTCCCCTTTCCTCCCACGACGGGGCAGCTGAGCATAAATAACTACTCATTATAGGTCTTGTACATGTGTGCCCTCAACATGTGTGCCCTCAACATGTGTGCCCTCAACATGTGTGCCCTCAACATGTGTGCCCTCAACATGTGTGCCCTCAACATGTTTGCCCTCAGCACCACTGCAAAAAAAAATCTTAGTTACCCAAAGCCTTAACAAATTGCTTAATTACCATAAAGTTAATTCGCGTCGTCTGTCCTTTGACCTTGTGACCTATACCTTATAAGGTCTCACAGTGACCCAGAGGTCATGAACCCAGACTTTATGAAAGTGTCAGGTGAGTCTCTCTCACGTACCGTCCTCGTAGTCGTAAGACTCACTAGTGACGGCGAAGTACAACACAATCTCTGGGAAGTAGTTTGTTAGGTCATTCAAGTGATACCACTACATGTGTTGTAACAGGTGCTGTTGGTCACACACACTCACACACACACTCACACACACACTCACACACACACACACACACACACACACACACACACACACACACACACACACACACACATACACATACACACACACACATACACACACACACACACACACATACACACACACACACATACACACACACACACACACACACACACTCACACACACACACACACACACACACATACACACACACACACACACACATACACACACACACACACACACACTCACACACACACACACACATACACATACACACACACACACATACACATACACACACACACACTCACACACACACACACACACACTCACACACACACACACACACATACACATACACACACGCACACACAC